ACAAAGTGCTGCACAGTCAGAATAATAAACAATAAATCAGTCATAATACAAAGTTAAAACAATAAGATAGAATACAAGAGGACAAGACAAACAGAGGAAACACAAAAAGACAAAACAAAGACAGGACAGACCGTAAAATAAGACATTATAAGTTTAAAGCTGACAATTAAAAGCTGTTTGATAAAAGTGGGTTTTAAGAAGTGTTTTAAAAGAGGATACTGATGGTGCTAGCCTTATCTCCTCGGGTCGGTCGTTCCAAAGCCGAGGAACAGAGAAGGCTCGGTCACCTTTCGTCCGGAGCCTCGACCTTGGAACGGTCAACAGGGACCTGCCCGAGGATCTAAGGCTGCGGGGGGGCTAGTAGGGGGTTAAAAGTTCATAAATAGAGCTGGGTGCCAGACCTAAACGAGCTTTAAAAGTAATCAGTAAAATCTTAAAATCATTTCTAAAATGCACAGGGAGCCAGTGGAGGGACGCTAAAACAGGGGTGATGTGCTCCCTTCTGTTAAAACCAGTGAGAAGTAAATGGTGTCATGTCGATGGTGGATCAACTTAATGGCATAACTGTTCCAATTGAGTACCACAGATGTACAGTAAATGAAGAGTGGCCATTGCTCTTGAGTAAAACCGTGTACATGTCTTTTGAGTTGGAAAAAGTCCTCAAAATGTTGCATATTATACAAACCCGAAAGCCATGGATATACCACCTCTGCACGCTGGCACCAGTGGACGCTCCAATATGCACGCCAACTGTTACTTTCCCTCCATCGAACCTTGGGGCGAAAAATTACACATGCAATGGTTTTCAGTCTGACGAGGGCAGGGCAGACTTGGCTGTGTTTGCTGGGAGTTACATTGCTCACATGGAGAGAAAGAGACTGGTGATCTCAAAGCGCGATTGTAGGCGTAAAACATGAAGCACTCAGCGCCACAGGCCAAAGCAGAGCTGCGTGGGACATTAGCATGAGTGGGTGGGTTTGTTTTTCTTTGCGGGAGATGGGAGAGTGAATTAGATGCATAGGCAATGGGAGAGAGGCAAGAAAACAAAGGATTACGCAATGCCAGACTTACTCAGCCTTAATTAGAGTCTTCAGGGGGAAAGGGGCGAACATGCAAAAATGTACGCTCGAGGTTCAAACGGCGAGTTACAGGAAGGCTGGGGAAACACTACATTGCGCAAAAGCAGTTATGTGTCATTCCAGAATCAGGATTTTATTATCTCTCTGCAGCAGACCAAACCTGCTTTCAAGTAAATGAAGATGAAAAAAAACCCACTCCAATCCTTCATTAATATTTGCATAGGTTTTAAGGAGACTTACATTGTATTTGTTTTCCTGTCTCATTTATGAACTAGAGTTAAATACACACATTGTCCACTACACCAAAATGAAAAATGTGGTCTCCTGCTGCTGTGGTGTCGTAATGCATCTGTTGGTCGTAATGTGTTTTGTTTATGCAAGGCAAGGCAAGTTTACTTGTGTAGCACAGTTCATACAAGGCCACTCAAAGCGCTTAACAAAACAAGATAGAAGCAATACAAGGCAAAAAACATACAGTACATAAACAATCACATTACATTAGAAACAGTGAAGATATAATCCCAGAAACAGAACTGTTTTTAACCTGGATATGAACATTGTCAGAGAAGAAGCCTGTCTCACATTCTCAGTAAGATTATAGCAGCATGAATATGAAATACTGCCTCCCCATGGGTTGTCTTGACTCTGGGCACCAGCAGCAGAGTCTGAGTTGGCACTAACATGTCATGGATGTACTTTGGTGCGAGGCCATGGAGAGACTTGTATACGGGCAGAACTGATTTAAAGTCTATTCTCTGAGCCACGGGAAGCCAGTGCAGAGACCTAGACTTTCGTTACTTTTGCCTTTCTATCTCAAACCAGCCTGCCCATTCTGCTCTGACCTTATTCGTCCTCAAAACTACACACACTGAAAGTTATTTTCTTCAGATTCAGATTGATCTAGTTACAGCAGTTTCTGAAATACCAGCCTCCATAACACCAACCACCACCTCATTCAAAGTATCTTAAACCCTCTTTCTTTCCTCATTGAGATGCTGCCTTCACTGTGTGCACATGTCTAAATGCATTCAGCTGCTGCCATGTGATTTGCTGATTAGTTGTTTGTGTTAGCAAGTTGAACAGATGTAGACTCGTAGATGTAGATTCGTGCAGGTTTGAGTATACCTTTCACTCATGCATTCATTAACAAAGACTTTGCAGACTTTTTGAGGATTTGACCCTGTTATGACACGGTTCCTCATCAAAAACAAACCTGGAGTTGATTTTGGATCCATTCACATTGATACCAGGAACTTCTTGAACAAACATGTAACTCCGCCCCTTCGGTAATAGTATGATGTCATTGAACTTCTGGGGCATCACAACTTTATTACCCCTAAATTCATTTCGGCAATTTCTCAGGTGAAATAATATTTTTACAATTGAATTCTATGTTTTCATCTGGTAATTTTCGAATTTGAAGGAAAAAATAAAACATACATAAAGGATTGTTTATCCTTGATACACCTGTTGCCATATATTTTTTACTTAAACTATGATTACACATTAAAAGTATAAAGTCTCATTTTTATTTTCATGCGCAAAAAGTAAAGCACAATATTTTCTTTAAATGGTTACCACTCAATGCCCAGCTTAAGATACTGTCCACATTCGTCCTCTGTATTTTCCACCATTCTTCAATGTCACTTATCAGGAGCAGAAGGGGACCTCAGAGCAGCACCCATGGGACCCATATACTGACTCCTTCTCCACATTCTTAAGATCAGGGAGACCTTGGAGGATTAACCTCCTCTGTAACGGTTGATGGAGAACGACAAAAACCCGCTCAGACAAAAATTACCCATCTAAGTCCACAGGAAGGACTGAGAACAGATACAGTACCACGACTCTTTCCTGGATGTTCTTGTCTATTTGATTAATTAAGTAAATATAATCACTGCAACGTCACATGTTTGCATCTATGCTGACCTCGCCTCACACGTCATGCATCGGTGCAGTATCTTGAACTAATGTCAGAATGTGCATTATAGAACCACATGTGTCCACTGTTGCTCTACTTAGTCCCATACCCTCCTGCTGCTAACATGTACAGCTGTATACATACTGCTGTATAAATACAGCAGTATGTATACAGCTGGATTGACTGGATTCTGGAATTGAAAATGGGTGATGATGACAGCTGCATTTCATTTGTAATGTTGTGACACAATTATAAAACAAATGACAGTATATAACACAGAGTCAACGACTGGATTCCCGAGGGTCTGAGATTCACAACAAGCATGACTGTATTGGTGGAGTTGAAGTTGGTTGAATGACACTGTAAAAGTGCCTCAATGGCGACTTTGTGTTGGTAGCAGAAGGCCTGAGTTTGAACATGTCTGCATTATGCTAACGATAGAGACTTTATACTTGTTACTTTTTCTTGGTAGAGATAGAGATTTTCATTTTATTTATTAGAGTTATCATTCATTTATCTTGTGCTGTGTGCTACTCATTCCTACTGCTCTGTGACTCCTAATCTATAGAGCTCCATTAGGACTATATGAACAGGGAAGAGCACTAGTTGAAGAGACATGGATTTTGAACGGCTGGTTGCTTGTGTTTGGCCTGAGGAGTTGGACACTATAGGCGCCGCTACATGTAAACAACTCAAAACACAGTTGAGAAGCAGCAGCAGTAACAGCACCAAAGGCATTGAAACATCCTCACGTCTTTGAGGGAATCCAGCGTTCATATCTGAAGCTCCCAGACACTGGTCCACTCAGAGTCTTTCCAACTAATCGCTTTAGAGCAGAAAACTAAGGGGCATGATGGGAAAACAAGTCTCACTCCGTCACCACAGAGAGTTTGGACAAGTTTGAACTTTACTTATTGTTTAACGCCTCTTTTACACAGCTCTTGTTTAATAATATTGCAGTGTTTCTCAACTCAAACAATGAATGAGTTGAAATCCAGTCATGTGTCAAAAAACCTGACTCATCTTTCTTAACATTCTCCTTGTATGAATATTTTCCATGTTGTCTTTGTGTCATACTGTATGCATTTTATACTGGTTTCTGTGCCTGCCTATAGGGACTGCGGGCTCCGGCATATCTACAGTGGTTCACACATGTTCATCACTGTGCATTGTCCTTATCAGATAAATGAATACGTTATTTAAGTGAACTTTTTGTGGTTTTATTTGACATGGTCTGCATTATTTATGTAGTAGTTCTGTTGACAATGTTTTGTTTTGTCATGGTAAATGAACTATAACTCAATATATGTACTGTATAAATGACCATTTTGATCACCAGGCCATGAACTATACAATGTAAATTAACTTTTGGAAATTTTATGCTTATTATACCGTACTTCCTCACCAGTGGCTCCACCAGTAAGGCTTGTAGAGCCACAGCAAATCCAATGGGGCTCATATTCTCAACCCTAACCCTTCAGGATAATGCATTGGTGGTTTCAACAGGTGAATAATTTGAAAAACCGTTGACTTTAACTTTGAAAACATGCATTCTTACAGTGACCAGGTTTCATCTGGCTGAGAGGTATTATCATCTCGAAGCAATCAAGCAGATTCCAGGTCATACAGTACACCTTAATTCAATAACCAAGCTAAGGAATTTCCAAGTATATAAATATTACATATACCAATACAATACAGCAGATGTATTCTTGACCCATAGTTACACTTTTGAGATTTTAAAGTTGTATCCCTTTTACAACTAAATCTTTTAAATAAATCGCATATTGGCAGAACCTGTAGCTATCATAGAGCGCTGACATGTGTGCATCCTCTGATCCTTTTGGGCATGCCGTTGAGTTGAAAGGTCAGGATTTCACCCGAGGCTTTGAAACAGGCCACCTCTGTGAGACGTGAATAAATACATGATTTCATTGTGCCTTGGGCTGCATCCCTCTCCCCTCACGCAGTCTTGTGTCGAGACATCTGACAGATAGCCCATGATGAGAGCAGCCGAGCCAGTGATGACGCAGTCCCAGGAAAGACAGAGCGCTGTGGTGGACCGCCCTGGCCTCGACCCAAATGCCCCCAAGGACTCCTGCCCCATCCACCCCTCCCGCCCCCTTCAGTGCTTCCTGCCTCTGTCGTCCCACCGCAAAACCCAATCCCTGATCAAAGGCCAAAGAAGGGGGAAAAAACGCAGAGAGGAGACGAAAGAAGAGACAGAAGAGTGAAAAGAGTCGGTGGGAGTGACATTCAGACTGGTGAAGCAAAGCAACAGACCCCTCTTTATGTGACAAGGAGGCAGCTGGTCCGGCCGGGGCACCTGTGGGCCACAGTCGCCCGGGACGATGCCAAACTCCGCCCATATAGACACAGAGGCAGGACTGGTGCCAAGAGCGACCTGCCAGGGCTGTGAAAGATCGCCATGGAAACAGGGCTGGACTCTAGAGGTGAATAAATATGCTTTCAGCCACGATTCAGCGGGGGATTTAGATAAATGAAAACCATTATTACAGTTCTGCTACTACTACTACTACTACTACTGCTACCACTGGTACTGCTGCTGCTGCTCCTGCTGCTCCTGCAACCATTTCTACTGCTAGTGCCTGCTGCTGTTATTTTACTTCAGCCATGTACTTGTAGGCCTCTGATCACAACAGCCAGGTGCTACAGGACATACTTACTATCAATCGCTCAACTAGGCAAGGCAAGGCAAGTTTATTTGTATAGCACAATTCATACACAAGGCAATTCAAAGTGCTGAACAGAACAAGAAAGCATTAAAATCATAAATAATCACAGTGCATTAAAAAAAAAAAAAAAAAGATAAAAATATAAAATCCCTCAGTTGTTCATACTGTATTCATACTGTAGTCATAAAATACAGTCATGTTGGCTCATGATTGAATTAACAATGAAAGCGTTCGCAAAGAAACACATTATTTCAAGCAATTACTATGAGACTATGTTATGTGCCATTTCTATTGTAAAAACATTATCTGGTGTAATTGAGTGATTGCAAAACCCAAAAGAAAAGATTCAACCCTAAACTATTCCACTGCTGAGTCTGTATAAAAACCCCTCTTGTTCTACAACTTTTATGCAATGTTCTTTAATATGAGATTTCAATAACATTTCAATTACATACACGGCTGAGACAATGTCAGCCGTGTTTTAATATGCTGTAAAAACATGGTATATTTTCCAGTAAATACCTTTCAGTCAAACACTGTATAATGGTTGCCATAGAAACTGGCTTAAAATACGGTCCATTCTCTCCCCATCGAGAGGTAGTCAACCTTTAGATGCTCTCTGACCGCTTGGCTTGAGTTTCGCTGGCACCACATCTACATCATCTCCTTCATGTGTAGCTGTTGTGGCCAAAATGTGAAGACAATATCCAAAAGCTAAAAAACATAAAAATCAAATAAAAATTCATGCCCACCTGTTTAAAAGCCTGGCAGCCATTCCAAACCCACTAACACTGCCATTGTTTTGCGGCTATTACCTAGTCCAGATTAAAAACCACCCATCACTGACCAGATGTCCAAGTATTTTTGCCTTTACACGTTGAGGAGGAATCGTGTTACATTGCACCGGACTGAACAGAGACAGTAGAGCGTTTTCCTGGGATTGGAAATGTCCTACCTGTTTAGAATCACATGAACTGCACATAGGGCATCGGCTGGTGGCTTTAAGCAGAAGTGACACCCCATTCATTACAGCTGGTCAGGGTCCGATGTTCCTGTCTTATCTTACAAGGCCCTGAAATGGACATTGGCCTTAGAGTTCATGAAGGACCACTGCACTGGCAATCCCCCACCGGCCACGTATGGTGTGGGGAAGAAATAGTTGCATGAGAAATGTGACCTTGTCATATTTAAACATAGTAGCTTTCTGGGTTTAACTAAATAAGGTGTTTTATTTTTTTTATTTTTTATTTTGTTGTTTTTATTGTAACAGCAAGATCTTGCTGTCATAATAAAAATAAAAAATAAAAATGAAATGGCTTTTCAGCGTTTTACATTATTTACCAATACTATTGTTGATTGTTTTTTTTTATTTGAACTAGATCTTAAAACTTGGGTACCATACTGTTGTGACTAATACACTGTGTTAGTCACAACATAAAGAGTCACGCAAAGTAAAATCAAGTAACAAATCAGACCACAACATAATGGGTTTATCTTGTTAGATAACATGAAAAATGCAATCTAAAGCATAAACAGAGACCAAAATGCATGCATGTGAAGACTAGTGATAGAACTATCATTAAATGAATTTGGTTACATCATGTAATTTGACAGTGAGGTACCCCGGCTTTAAGTTGAGACAGTTTGAGATTTGGTAGAACTCAAAAGGCTAAACATTTAGTGGGGGAAATATATTTTTGATCAACAGAACTGTATATAATCTTTAATCTCCTGAAGAGGCTACTGCTTCTCTTGATGTTTTGCAGATTGGATCCTTCAAACAGTGAAGGCTCAAACTTAGATCTTAGTCTTATTTAAGATTGAAAAATAATCTAAAATATATGATTATATTAGCGTGCATGACCATTAAGACTAATCCCATTCACATCACAAGTGTGTAAGATGTATAAGCCCTGTTGCGCCTCATTATTGATTTCTTTTGTTATATCTGGATTGTATATTCCTCGAGATGGAGGCAAACAGGAAGCAGTTGCCATGGGAAACTCACTCAGATGGATCTTGAATGAGCAGCAAACACAATACTGTTTGAATGAAAGGGATTTATAGATTAAGTAAATAATGCATCCGTAGTCAAGTCGGCTTGAACTTCATCTTTTCACCTGGTTAACTTTACATTTACAAACAGTATCTTTCAATTTGAGGTAACGTTTCATTAGAATAATACTGCATTATACGTAAAGGCAAGTGAAGTGGTAATGTCCATATTCTGCACAATTGTAAAAGAGAGGTGGCAGTTTTATGGCCTTGTAAAGTGATTTTCTTCAAAGTATATGTGTTCTTAACTAAAGGCTCTAATATTGTGGTCCTCAAAGCTTGGGTACCTAACTTTCTCGACAGAAAAAACCAGCTTAATCCATAACTAATCCATGGCACTCAAACAAGTGTCACAAACATTTTTTTTCTTTTGCATGTGTCAGCTCATTCAGACATAAAAGTGAAAAATGGATCACCAGTCTTTCTCAACCAATCAGCTCAAATCAGCCCAAAACGATGGGGACTTTTGCACAAACAAATCTCCTTGACAATGTTGTAACATGCTTAACGCTGGGGTACCTGATTGCAAAACATGTTGTTTGTCCCAACAGAAAAACAGTTTGTAAAAGCAACATTTTTGTAAACGAAGCAACATGTAAACCTTGTATCTTTTGCATACTTGTTAGAAAAATCCCTGTTTGGCTTTTTCACTATTTTGTCTGTCAAAGATGATCTAAATATGTGGTCAAAAATACATGTGATAGAACCGCAAACTGTGTTGTGAGCAAGAGATCTTAGATAGATGATATTACACTGTTTTGTCATTCGTGGTTTGAGAGCTTGGTACAGCAGCTTTAAAAGTCAAAAGAATCAATTAAATGTTAAACTTTACTTTCACAAACTTTTGGGATGATAGTGACGAGCCTTTTTCCCTTTATTCCTTGCTATCTAAAGTCTATTTCTTATCACAGCCTCTTGATTGGTGCATAAATGAGCTTGGGCATCGCTCGAGTCTTGTTTTTGTGTTGTGTGCGTCGTTGATTAATATTCCACTCGTCTCCTACGCCAGATACAGGCGATAGACAGACTCCCCTTCATCTCTAAACACCAGCTGTGCAGCGCCGCGAGACACACTCATGGATTTATGCGTGCAGGCAAACTTATATAATTCAAGTGTTTGGGAGGCAGGGTATCAATTTTGCATGCCGTGCTTCCTGCATCATTCACATACACACTTATATTTTTTTCTGAGTGGGGCCTTCAAAGTGTCATAGGGGAAGTTTGGTGCAGATATCAGGCCATGTAGATATGGCAGGTGGGTGTGAGATGCTCCTGCCTTCTCCCTGTCTCATTTATATACGTCAATCAAACAAGGATAAGATGGTGAAAATCTGTTTGATGGGACATGGTTAGAAGGACCAGATCCATTTATCTAGAGTTGCATTATCTATCCCTTACATACGTATAGTACATTTGGAATCACAATGGATTACATCATACTGTATTTTAACCTCAAAAGACACCTTGTTGTTTTTGGCGCGACGGTTAGCACTTGAGCTAACCGTCAAGCTCAAGTGCTCAAGTGCAACTCACACACAACACTGTGTGAGTTGTGTGGTCCTCTGTGTTTTTATTTTATTTCTATTTATGGTTTTAATCTGTTTTATATATTTTTATTCTTTTATACTTGGTGAAGCTAAGGATAAGTTGTTATTTATTTTATACTTTTTTGTGCAGCACTTTGGAAACGTAACTGTTGTTTAAATGTGCTATATAAATAAAGTGGATTGGATTGGATTGGATTGAGCTTCACCTCCATCTCCTGGGTTCGAATCCTAGGCCAGACATGGAAATTCTATGTGGAGTTACATGTTCTGCAAATGTGTTCCTACCATTAAAAACGTGCACAATTGGTACAAATGAATGTAAGGGATAAGAGTTCAAGGCTCCTGTCCACCAGGTGTTCGGTATTTCGCTTCAGTCATCTCCATTTCCTTTGACTTTTTTGTAACTTGTTCCCATCATATACCAAAGCAAATTCCTAGTTTGTGACGTACTGTTACTTCCAATAGCAATACAAATAATTCTGATTCTGGTGTGGAGTGAATAGCGATCTTCCAAAGTGCATTGGGTGACGTTGATCCACCAAATGTGCTATATAAATAAAGATGAATTACTTTACTATACATGGGTACATATACTGTATACATGAGTACGACCAATGTACTGTATACACCATGTCAAATCAGCTGATAGATAACATCATTATCTAGTATTCAGTTGTTTTGAAAATGCATAAATAAGTCTAAATGAGCTGAAAACAACAGGAGTTCTCTGTCACACTTAGGCCAGATTCATCACTGAGCGTTCTCTGAAGTGGTTGGAATTCCAGGTAAGATAAGATAAGATAGACTTTATTGATCTCACACATGTCACATTTGGCACAGATAGGATCACTCAAATGTTAAAGGTTAAAAATGTAGTATGTGAAGGATATAATTCAACATCAAGGGTATGTATCTAATGACAGCATTCAGTTTTGC